CGGCACGAGAAGTGCAAAAACGCATAATCGCACCGGCCCGCCTGGTGCGTTCCAGCCTGGGTTAGCACCACAACTGTCACATCAGTACAGCGATTGCGGTGAAGTTGGAAGTGGGAGAAAGTGAAGAGAGAAGAGAAAAAGAGGGAAAATGAGCAAGAAAACGACGCGGAAACTAAATTAAAAATTCCCAAGATAACCCACTGGTAAGAAATATCCCCCTAAAATTCCATTCTGGAACTGGAAATTCTCAAAAAATTCCCCACATGTTCGTATACAAAACGCAGGCGTAAGTGAAAGTTGTTTTCAAGCTAGGGAATTTCAATGTTGGCAAGAAATATCCTCCAAAATTTGAGCTTTCCAGCTTTTCTGGTCGCTAATTTGAAAAACCCTCACAGAATCTGAACACACAAACGTACTCGTACACAAATACACACGCATTTCCGAAAACGTGGTTTTGAAGCACTGTAGCAGGGCGAAACATGTAAAAAAAAATGCATTTCGGAACGTACGTATCAAATTGAACTGAACTTCTTTAGCGAGTAGCTGTAGTTTCTTTCGCTCTTAATTCTCGAGTTTTAAAATTAGATAAAATTTGAATCGCTAGTTTGTAGATCAGGGCACGAAAAAGATGTGAGTTGCTTTCGGATTTTGATCTAGCAGGCTGTCAGGAGTTCTTTTATTACAATAGTGCTTTCGAGCAGTTGTAGCACTGCTGAATTTAAGTCGTTCTCACCACACATCTGGGCCAAAAATCTTTGGTGGTAGAGTCATTGGCAGCTAAATTCTATGCGTAAACAAGGATCAACGCGAATATTTTGTTCTCATGCTTGTACTGAATTAGAGCATGCGAAACTTTTATTGATCGCAAATACAGTCATGCAACAATGGAAACAGATATGCAGTGAAAATAATAGATATATTCCGGATGATAGAGTAATTTGATGTTCTTAATAACAAACTTAGACTGTGTGATGGTCTTTTACATACAATTGTGGTTAGAAGCAGTGCCTTGACTAAAAATTCTTTTTGAATTTTCTGGATCTTCTAAAAACATATCTGGGGACAGTGATTAATTGAAAACCAATTTTTTTCTTCTTTTAAGAATTCACATAATTCATATGAAAAAATTGATTCTCGTTTTATCTATTTGTTTAAGACAACTGCAACAATGGCGCAGCATTTTTTCTTGTTAACAGAAACAACGCAGCATGTCTTTCTGCTGTGGTAATAGTGCAGCTACAATGAATGAAAAGAAACGGTATTGGTTACTGTCTAAATTGGAGTCACGGAGAGTAGTGTATGTGAATTGGGATAATCTGTTGGTAGTAAAAAACGCAGTTGCCTCTGAGCAACTGCTGCTATAAGGCCGTAGGCTAGAAGCAAAAAGAAGCCGCTAAAAACAAAGGAACCAAAGGCACTTGGGGCGACGAGTTTTTCCTTCCTTGACAGCCTTACTAGCGAGCTTATCCTCAATGTCTTTGAGCATGTCGTTGACTTCTTGCAGATTGTTGTCCATGAAATAATAATAATCGTAGACTTCACGAAGATTTGTGGAAGCCTGTAACACTGACATTGAATAACAGCTTAGGTAAGCAGGAGTTGGGGGCGATCGAGACAAATCGGAGCCCAGCAAAGGTAAAGCCGGCGCTGGTCAGGAAGCCCATTAAACAGTACTGGCGCCTTTTTTCGATTTTGAGTGTTGCATTCACCAAAGTTTTACTTCTGAAAACACAAGCTGAAAGCAAATTCCTTCTGTGAAAAGTCTCTGTCCACAGTGTGCTGCTGGATTTGGTCAGTGTAGAATGAAGAAGCATTGCTCGTCGGCTCGTAAACCTACCCACCTGGCTCTGAGGACAGTGACTTCTGGACTATTTATGTTGAAGATGATTTTCTGTGCGGGCTTATCGCTTCCAGAAAGCGTTGGCAAAAGAAGTGACAATTCGACTTTTAAACTTCAAACCTAACCAGCCAAGAAAGCCATAGATTCGTTGAGAAATTGATTTTATCTCAAGACCGGTTCTTCTATAAAACATAAAAGCGATGTTGTAACCTCATTAGCCATATTTCTGATTGCATCGATATGCCCGAGTGCTTTTAGATTTCCTCCGAAAGACTCAGCATCCAGCAGCCGCTGCTCAATTCTGTGTAAGCGAATGCGGGTAACTGGTAAGCGGCGCCATTTATTCAAAGCATTACGCTTATTTGCCTCTTTTTCCAGCACGTAGGCGTTCATTTTCAGTTTCAAGTCCTCCAGTTTTTTCTCAGCTTCTTCGAAACTCATCGAGCGATTCTCATAAGCTTCACGGAGCTGAAGTCATAAATGAATTCATGAAGAAAAACCAAAATTGGTTTTTAATCCGCGCCCTGTTACGAACTGCTGACAATTATCATCTCAAAATTTCTGATTCAGCGATCATAGGCGGATCCAGGGCTATCTCCTGGGAGAAAGGGAGGGAGAATGGAAAGATTTTTCACTTTCCCTTTTTCCTTCTCATTACATCTCTCCTCTCCTTCCCGGCCAGCTCCCAGCTTACCCTTTAATCGCCGCGTTGCCCTCCCCCCTCTCCCACCTCCATCCCGGCCCACCAATCGCACTTTCCCCCCTCCCGAAGTCTCGCTGCACTTCCCCCCTCCCCTCCGTCCCGCTCTCACAAATGGACACTAAACTAAGACTGAAAGTCTCCTGAGGGGAGGGGGGAGAGGCGACAGAGGGACTTTTGCCGAGTAGACTTTTGTACAGTAAAGCAACGGCTAACTAAACCCAAGGAGCGGAGGGAGAGGGGAGAGCGGGGGGGGGGG